CATGGATAAGGGTCCTTACACATTAGCAATGGGATCTATCATATATGCAATACTATGTATGTAGGGATGGCAATTCGAACCATCAAAATCAAAAATCACGGTTAACTGAATCGAATGGGGCAAAAAAATCGAACCGATGGTGCAATGAGATGGCCATGATATTTGATTTTAATGACCCAGTTCCGGATGAGGCGGGTATGGTATTTACGCCACCGACCCTTCTCGAACCAATTATCCGTTAATTTTTTATTTTTACAAGTACCCGTTAAAAAAAAATAATTAGACAATTGGGGCTTTCCATTATTCTTTCTATGAATGAAGATTGAATATGAATTGAACTTGTGGCTTTTGAGTTATTGAGTAGGAATCAAGTTTGATGCATAAGGATCAGGGGACAAGGATATTATTTAGTATTGTTATGTTGATAATATTGTTTGTTAAACTTGAATTTTGCATTTGAAAATTGGGATATTATTTGAATTTTCATTTGTGATATTATTCGCTAAAATGACCTAGTATTGTATCTTATTATTATTATTATTATTATTATTATTATTATTATTATTATTATTATTATTATTATTATTATTTATGTATTATATGAGAATTTGTGAATATGTCAACTGCTGATTGTGATATTAAAAATTAATTGGAGTATTGTGAAATGTTATTATGTGATTTGTGAAAACTGAAAATGAGAAATTGGGGAATTTATAATTTTTGATAAATTGGTATTGGTAATTGAAAATTGAAACTTTAATTAGATTATAAAATTAATTTTAATTCTAATATAGATTGTAGAATTATTTTTTCAATCGATGTCCTAACCTAATTCTTGTAGTGGTGCATCTAATCCCGTAACTAATTTTAGCCGAGCAAACGATATATTAAGCATTGATAACACAAAAAGTCTCATGTATCATTTATTTTATATTATTTAGGATTGTATTGTACTGTAATTTGATATAAATATACAATTTTTACGTTTTAGTATATTTTTATATAGATAGAATAATTTTTAATATTATTTAATTTGATAAATAAATGACATTGCTATAGAACCGTTGACGGTCAACGATCAACGACTGCCCTAGCTAGATTGAAGTCTTGGATTTGCCCCTGTTCATGGTTATTAACATTCCGAATCGAGATACGAACCGACCCGACTTATATGTTTATGGTATGACAAAAAAATTGGTGGTTCGATGATGATTTTTGCTGAACCGACTTTGAACTGAACCGTTACCAACCCTATATGTACAAGACAAGATGTTTCATATGCTCTAAAGGTTACGAGTAGGTTTTAAGCAAACCTTAGTGAGAAACATTGGATAACAGTTAAAAACATTCTCAAGTACTTAAGTAGGACTAAATATATGTTTCTTGATATATGGAGGAGATGAACTAAGAGTTCATGGATATATCGATACTAGTTTCTAGTCTGACAAGGATGATAGCAAATCTTGATTTAGATATATGTTTACTTTCAACAACAGAGCGGTTAGTTGGAAAAATTTCAAACAAGAAATAACAGCCGATTCAACAACAGAAGCCGAGTACAATGCTGCTTTTGAAGCAGCAAAATAGTTGTTTGGATCAAGAAGTTCATTAATGAAGTTGAAGTTGTTCTAGCATTATTGATTGATTATCTCTGTATTTTAATAACAATGGAGCCACCGTCCAAGCAAAAGAATCAAGGTTTCATCAACGATCTAAACATGTGTTAAGACTATATCATCTTATCAGAGAGAGTATACAAAGAAATGACGTGAAGATAGGCTAGTTCTCATAGATGATAATATTGCAGATCTGTTGACAAAGTCATTAAACATGATCACCATGTAGATGCTTATGGTATTAGGTACATAAATGATTCGATCTAGTGCAAGTGAAAATTTGTAACTGTTGTGTCTTAGGTCCAACTGATTGATGTTGTAAACACTTTTAATATGTTTAATGCATTTAATTTGGTAAAATCTATTATTTATTTGAATTACTTTTCTAATAAATTATATTAAACAATAGAATCCATAGATTTAATTCTTAGTGATTTGTTAATCACAAGGAATCATGATTGTGAGATACAAATCACAATATGATTGAATTTTAAATCATCCATGGTTGTAAATAATAACAAGATACGGATATCGTTATTACGAATAGACTATCACATGTGTCATTTCTTAATTATGAAGTAAGTAGCTGATTTCATGTGCTAAACTATAGTGACACTTAAATGAACACGTGAAAGTTTTGTTATAAAATAGAACATTAGAGACCCATCAGGGAGATTCCACATGGATAACTATCTGATTATCAGTGGTTAATCTTCAATGTTCAATATTGGAATTGTTCCTTCGACTTGAGGTCATATAGTGCCTTATATGAGTGTAGTCATGCTTTAGCTATGTTGGATGTTGCTCTACAAATGGTCAATATTATGGCATCGTTCAAGTATATAAAGAATCATATGAAGATCGTGAATGATTAATAGAGGATTCATCACTCTTAGATAATATAAGATTATGATTATGATCTACATTTCATTCAATTAAGTTGAAATCAAAATCCTTGGCCAAAGTGTACTTATAAGTGAAAAAGAAATTTTCCATTTATATTGACTTAATAGTGAAATGAAATATATGATCGATAATTGAGATTGTCACATATTTATATCTTGTAATTGATCGGATCATATTGACAAAAGAATTATAGTTTTATGGCAAACAAACAAGTTTGATTTTGTCATACTATGTGATATTTTTTATCATATATATTATCCTGACATATTGGTAGATGTCAATCTAGAATAACGGATGTGAATTAGTGATAAATTAAAAAGGTATTTTTATATGACAATTTTGATTGAATCAAAATAATAATTAACGTCGTTAGGCATCGTAATTGAAAATCTAATGGGTCACACACAAAAGGAAAACTAGAATGATGAGATTTACTAATTAACTAATTGACAAGTGTTGAACAATTAATTAATTGGATTGCTTGTTAATAGGCCCGAATTAATTAATTAATTAAATATAATTAGATTAATTAAATATTGGACCGAATTAAGTTATTAGATGGGCCAAATCACTTGGATTATATTAATAGGTTTCTACGTTTGAAAAGTCTGTAAAGAATATAATTTTACATTTTTGCTAACACAAGAAAAAAAATTCTGATTTTCTCAATCTTGTTCCCTATGTGGATTTTATTTGGAGGTTGGACGATTGGACAGCTGTAAATTGCAAATCAGAACTATTTTTCTAGGAATTCGTCAAAGGTATAATTTTTAATCACAATTTCTTTCTAAGTACATAGAATATCCTTGGTGGGAATTGAAAATTTTCTTTAAATTTTACGGTGCAGTTAATCAACTTAGGCTACCATGGTTAAGTGTACATCTCTAAGTCCTACAAGAACTAGAGTGATTTTACCAATCTAAATAGTATGAATAACCTCTCTAAGATAGTAAAAAAAATAAAAATTAAACATTCAAATAAACCACGACAACGTAATAAAAATGGGTAAACTTAATTGAAATGTTAGCATTAAACTTAACTGAACTAAAGATAAGCTATATTAATCATACTAAAATGTTAGAAATTAACAATCAGCTCAAAGCAAGAGAAAATATAAAGGTTTAATAGATAACTGTTAAACCTCAAAATAAGATCTTGACAAACAAGTTTTTGAAAGTTCCAGAGCCAGAGTACTTGTCTGCAAGGCTGCAACGCATGTCCTTTGTTTTTTGTGAAGGTAGGCATCACAAATGCACATAAGCTTCTTTTCTACGGCAGCACAATTGCCTAGTGCCTACGTATCCTTTTTTTTTTTTTCCTACCTCATTTGAAGTCAACTTAAGGTCCACTCCATCCATGCTACAAACCTATCTTATTATTCAAAGTCAACAATAAAAACTTTCAAAAATTTATCAATCATGCTTTGATACCAACTAACCCGACACATTTTGGATTATCTTTATGGACCTAAAATTTGAGTACAATAGATGCCATCTTTGTAACGCCCCAATTTTTTATAAACTCTGAAACGTTACAAAAAACTCTTTTTTTTTTTTATTTTAAGTGCGGAACTATAAAAATAAAATTCTTTATTAAACATATAACTGCAACATCTATAAATTTAAATTTATAATATGAAAATTTTATATGAACATAACATAAACTCCTAACTAATTCAAATAACACGTTTGGAACAAAATTAAACTAATTCGTAAATTTAAAAATGACAAACTTATTTCTTTTTCTTTTCATTTGATCCACTTGGCACCCGCATCAACGCCCTTCCACAATTTCAGTGGACTCGAACTAACCTGTAAAAATTTGTAAGAGTGAGTATTCGAAAACACCCAGTAAAATACGTGCAGTTTACATATACATGTATATAACAATAAAAATTACAATTCATACCATCTGATCTTATAGAGTATATTGGTGACCAAACGACATATCCATCTTAGGTCCTCTTATAATCCCGTAGGATTTCATATCTCTTAAAAAAACGAATGTCTACTGGCAATCTATGGATGTTTTATTGAACATAAACGCATAAGGAAACAAAACACTTGCACTTAAAGTATCTTATCTCGTTAGAAAAATCTGAAGCACGCTCAAAATATTTCCTCCGCTTTGAAAAATACGTTATTAAAATATTCGATGTATGAAACTTTATTTCCAATGCTACTCTCTCTCTTCCTTTCTCTCTCTCTCTCTCTCTCTCTCTCTCTCTCTCTCTCTCTCTCTTTTCTGTATGAATTGTATTTATTTTTGGTAGTCAATGATGAGACTTTTGCATTATATTTATAGTTGAAAAAGACAATAGAATTTTGGTGAGATTGGGATGAAAGAAAGAGACGTGTACCACCAAATTGGATAAAGTTAAATTTTTTTGATAAGATAAATCATGATGTGATTCGTATACTTGATTGTGATAAAAAAAAAAAATATATATAATTAGTACTTATCAAATCAAAAGTAGAATCATAGCCAACCACTACAATTACAACTACAAGGTAGAATTCCTATATATCTACACGTGAAACTAGTGGCTCCAATTACACCAAATCCTAAACCAATTTAAAATAACATCTATTCTTTGAACTGCGTCTTTGGCATAACTTATCCAAATTAACTCTTTCTCGAGCCTAAAATTCATGATTTAATATGATCTATCCAACAAGACCAATATTGATATATTAAATCTTGATCTGTGAAAATCTAATTATTAGACCCAAATAAGAATAGGAATTTATATAATATACAAAATAAATAAATTTTTATCTATAAAATTTTTGGGTTGCTACAATCTACCCTCCTTAAGAGAATTTCATCCTCGAAATTTACCTGTGTTTGGGTCTTCCGTGGCCTGTCCTTGGGCTAAATTAAAAACTCTAGCCTTTCCCTTCCTTTCTGACTCATCATTCTTCTTCGAAAGGTCCTTTTTGCAGTTTTTGGAAATATGCTTGGTTTTACCCCGTCTATAGCATACATGCTTCCCAAACAAACATTCACCTCTATGCATTTTCTTGCATTTTGGACAAGGTGGAACGACTTGTTCAAAACTTGATCTGAAGTTAGCCTTCTTGTTCTGTCCTTCTCCTTTCTCCTCATTCGACCCATTCCATTTCCTCTTTCTTGAAGGGTCGGTCCCTTGTTGGGGAGTTTGATTAATTTCTAACCTATTTGAGATTGCTTGGACAGTCTGCAATACTCGGCTATAGGTGGTGAATTGGTGGGATACTAGTATTCCACCAATCTCAGGACGTAATTCCAGTTCGAACCTCCTTGCTTTCTTTGCTTCAGTGTCCACTAGGTGTGGTACATACCTCGAGAATTGTTCAAAATTTCTCTCATAATCCTCAAGCTTCATTTTTCTCTGTTTAAGTTGAAGGAATTCTGTCTCCTTTTGATCTCTTAAAGCTTGGGGAAAGTATTTTCCCAATACTTCATCCTTAAATTGTGTCCACGTCAGAGCACATTGTTGTGCTCCTGTTATAGTGCGAGATACTGACTCCCACCAGTGGCCTGCAGCGTCAACTAACATGAATTCTATGCATAACACCTTTTGAGCATCAGTGCAAGATAGATGCTTGAAGATTCGTTCCATTCCTCTTATCCATTCTTTAATTGCTAGTGGGTCTGCCTTGCCATCGAAGGTTGGGAGTTTGTAGCAACAGAACTGTTCTACAATTGAGTTGAGGTTGTTAGTGTTTGCACCATGGGACCAATTTTCAAAATCAAATAAATAAATAAATAAACAATTAAACTTTTCCTAAGTAAATAGATAACACTTATTTATAATCCCAGTGAGTCGAAAAAAAATCTTCTTTTTATAGCATCTCATCATCCGAAGTAATGCATGACTCTGGCTCGGAATGTGCAACTAAATCAATGAAATTTTGTGGTTGGATTTCTTGTTCAGTGTCTTTTGGCTCTGGTTCGATCTCGGTCCTCTTTCGACTCCTCCTCAGGGTCTTCCTCTAGCTCTGGTTCGGGTTCGGGCTCGGTCGCTAGTGCTTGTTGTCTGTGATTCCATAAAATTATAATATCCTCACAGTATCCTTTAAAATCAATCTTATCCCATTCTTCTTCCAAATACAACTCAAAATCCATATCCCTCACGAAGTAAGCCACGTCCCTCCATTGAGGTCGCATAGTGCTTATAAGGTAATAAGGTGGTATATCAAGAGGACTGTCCCCTCATTATATCTGAACGATCTTGCTTGCTCCCACTTAGAAAGGAAATCTTTGACATGTTCAACAAAAGTTCGCTCCCATCTTACTTCATAATTTATGTAATTCTCAATGGCCATTTCAGCATGCTGGAGGTATGTTGGGTAATTCCTAGTCATCCTAATCATGTGACAAGTATAAGTTCAATTATGTTTAATCTTGCATTATGAATATTTTATTTTATTTTCTATTTTTTTCCAGTGCGTAAATGGTAGTCCAGTAAAATGAAAAAAAAATGACAATTTAATTATGCGAGTTGAACATGCTTATAAATTTCATAACATGCAGAAATATGACTCACAAACATGCTAGAAATTAAGAATGAAACGGATTTATTTCATACTTGGGATCAACTGGAAAGTAGTCGAATGGTGAGCGCCACGTGCAAAGTGTTCTTATAACATTATTTGTTTTTAAAAAAATTACATTATCCTTTAAACTCCCTATTTTCTTTTCTTTTTTTTAAATAATTTGACTATAATTATTTATGAATTTCTTAGAATAGAAAAAAGTGAAGAAAAAAAGTTCCTAACAATAGTATTGTTATTTAAAATCACGTTATAAATGATTATTTGAACACAAACATATAATACATACATATACATTCTTGAAAATAAAATCATAGTAATAACACATAAGTACTAATAGAGCTATATATAACAACCACGTAGTATTTTAAGAAGTTAACTTATATCATAAAAATTAATATATACTTAAAGGTAATTGTGGGCTAACATTTGAAAGGTTGGTTTCAAAGTATGTATACAATTACATATTAATTAAGGCATGTTATCCCATTTTACATAAAAAATTTACAAAATCCCATTTTATTATTATAATATATATATCTTTCATTAATTAAGGTATGTACTCCCTCTTTTCTGTACATGTATATATCTTTTAATAAAAAAAAATTTCAAAATAGAAGTTTCAAAATTTTGAATTTTCTTAAATTTAGAATTGTCCAAAATATTATCTTTCATCTTGTTAATTTGAATAACACACAATTAAAAGGCTTTCAGATGAGGAAGGGGGTCATAGACGGACCGTTTAAATCTCAAACTCTTTTTAAACAGTTTAGGTCTTTTTGACAAAACCTTTCAATTTTGCAATTACGCAATTCAACAAAATTCAAACAATAAATCGAACTTGAAATCTCTTAAAATATCAATTTTTTTCAAAGGTCCATTTTTTAAAACATCCCCAAAGGCTAAAGTTAAAACACATAAAATTTATCACATGTGAGATTTAAACCATAGGCATGAATATAACAATTTAAATTCTAAACCACTACTACTCGAAATCAATTCAAACAATCATTTATTCTTCAAAATAAAGAGACAAATAAAAATAAATGGGTATTGATATGAATGGTAATCCAAACTACTACAAAATGAGACAAAATCTATAACAAAAAAAAAATTAAAAAAAATTGCAATATTCAAAGTATGCCACATCATATTTAAAATCCTAGAACTTTTGTCATGTCGTGTAAAACAAAATTTTTTTTGTCTTTATTGTTCACGTGAACAGTAACTGTATTGGTACTGTTCACGTAACATTGTTTTAAAAAAAAATATATTTATTTTTACTGTTCACGTGAACTGTTCCAGAATTTTTTTTTTCAAAAACAAGTCTACAGAAAAGTTAAACCGTGCTCTGATATCAAGCTGTAACGCCTCAATTTTCTATGAACTCCGAAACGTCACGAAAAACTCATTTTTCTTTATTTTAAGTGCGGAACTATAAAAATAAAATTCTTTATTAAACACATAACTGCAACATCTATAAATCTAAATTTGAAATATGAAAATTTTATCTAAGCATAACATAAACTCCTAACTAATTCGAATAACACGTTTGGAACAAAATTAAACTAATTGGTAAATTTAAAAACGGCAAACTTATTTAGTTTTCTTTTCATTTGATCCACTTGGTATCCTCGTCACCGCCCTTCCACAATTCCAGTCGACCCAAAAAAACCTGTAAAAATTTGTAAGAATGGGTATTAGAAAACACTCAGTAATATACATGCATGTATATAACAATAAAAATTATAATTCTTACCATCTGATCTTTTGGAGGATATCGGTGACCAAGAGACACACCCATCTTAGGTCCTCTTATAATCTCGTAAGATTTCGTATCTCTTAAAAAAAACGAACGTCTACTGACAATCCATGCATGTTTTATTGAACATAAACACATAAGGAAACAAAATGCTTGCACTTAAAGTATCTTACTTCGTTAGAAAAATTTGAAGCACGTTCAAAATATTTTCTTCGCTTTAAAAAATACGTGATTAAAATATTCGATGTATGCAAACTATATTTCCAATGCTATAGTTGAAAAAGACAATAGAATTTTGGTGAAATTGGGATGAAAGAGACGTGTACCACCAAATTGGATAAAGCTAAAAAAATTTGATAAAGCAAATAATGATGTGATTTGTGTACATGATTGTGATAAAAATATATATATAATTAATACTTATCAAATCAAAAGTAGAATCATGGCCAACCACTACAATTACAACTACAAGGTAGAATTCCTATATATCTACACGTGAAACTAGTGGCTCCAACTACACCAAATCCTAAACCAATTTAAAATAACATCTATTCTTAGAACTACAATATCTTTGGCCTAACTTATCCAAATTAACTCTTTCTCGAGCCTAAAATTCATGATTTAATATGATCTATCCAACAAACCTAATATTGATATATTAAATCTTGATATGTGAAAATCTAATTATTAGACCCAAATAAAATAGGAATTTATATAATATACGACATAAATAAATTTTTATCTATAAAATTTTTTGGTTGCTACAATCTTGGCGTTGGACCTAACACTAAGGCTAACTTGACCTATTTTAACTATTGTAAAATGTGCTTGCATGCTTCTATTGGAATTCCAAATAGTGAAACTTACTTGAAATCATAGAAACGAGGTTTAATCACTTGCCTTTGTTTCGCTTGTCTTCTAAACTTGTTTGTGTTCATTCCTTGGTCAGAAATTTGATCATAAAGGAAGGAATTTGATGGCCACAATCCAAGAACCATTTTAAAGATGATATATTTCCAAAATCGAGACACTACACTCATGTATATTTCTCTCTACATTGCCATACGAATTTGTATGCATTCATTTGATTTTTTAAAGTTCTTTTTTTGTTGTGAAAATTTTATATGGGAGTTATGGGTTGTGGAAAATGAAACTCAATTTTCTCAGCTTCCTCAACTTTTCCCTCCAATATGCTCTTATAAATTTTGGTTGGATAAGCCATATGGTCAACCCATTTTCTTCCAATGTTTCCCACTTGAAAATGATGGGTTTGACCAAATTTTAATATAATATCAATTATATTTATCTCAACAGCTCCAAGTTCATATAGGTAAATGGATTGTGCAACAAGTGAGTTAATTTAAGATCAAACAACACTATACACCTATTAGGGATATATAGCACCTCTAGAAGCTAGAAGAGGAAATATATCTCTCGCTATACCCGAACATATTTTGTAACACCAATTCGAGTATTTCTAACCCTTCAATTAATAAAAAAATACTAAACTTTCTAATCAATTTCACAATTGTACCACAAACTCAAAATGTTAACACAATTGTCTGGCAGGTGAATATAAATTGAGGTGTTAGATAAAATATCATCATTTCCTATTTGAATCCCTTAATTTCAAGTTAGGCTTTCCTAAATATATCCCATCAAGCCGAACAACCATAGTTATTAGCAACATCCTAAAGTAGCAAACACAGAAATAAAATTTTGAGAAATAGACAAAAGTCATAAGGGTATATAAGTAATAAGTGTATAAAATACACCTATTTAATTCTTTAAAATGATGATATTTAGTTACTTCTCGTATGAATTATGGTCTAAATTATTACATTTTACATTGAATAGGTAAAATTCAATGACGATACAAGAAATTAAAGGAAATAAGCAAAAGTTGACAAAATTGGAGAAAGTAGGCTAAGTTGTAAGAGATCCAAAGTTCGAGGACTATAGTGCAAATTATAAAAGTTGTGTCGGACCTCATGATAAAGATCCAAGAGTCCTCGGAGTCAATTGAATAAAGAAAGTCATCAAAGGGATGAAATATAATCAAATTATGATCACACATCAAGTTTCAACCAAAGAAATGTATGCATCATTTTTAGACTCATATTGAGACCCACTTTTGACAGAGCAATTGATTGAATTTGAAAATAGTATAAAAGGAAAATTTTATCCCTTTGAGTTAGCTTTCCATCACATCTTGAATCACTTCGATCGAATATCGGGAGAAAATGTTATGATAAAAGGACTGAAAGTTGTGCAATGCGATCGAATTGACGATAGCGCCAAAGC